TGTTAAGATTATATACTGCCCTAAATATCACTGTGAACTAAACGCAATTGAAGGTCTTTGGTGCAATCAAAAAGCATTTGTTCGTTCACGTACAGATCAAAGTTTTGAAAAAATGATAAAATTAATACCGGATTCTCGTATACATTTGGCCGAACGGAAAATTGCATTAAAATTATTCCGACGTTTTTGGCGTTCAATCGAAGCATATTCCCAAGGTCAAACATATGCTGATGTATTAAAACTGTTTTTCAGTCAACTCTGCAATACAACAGTTCAATCGCATCGTAGAATATCAAATAAAAACATAAACGAATCTTACCGAGTATATTTTTCTATTTCAATGCGTTTATTTTGCATGTTCCCGTTCATATTAAATAGCCAAGCATGAACAGTGATTAGTCTGTGTATTAAAGATCATAAATTATCGATTAATATCAGAAAACTATGTTTTTCTCCATAGGGGATTACAGAGACCCTCCGAAGGGTCTCTAAAGATCTCAGAAGTATGTTCATTCGATTTTTCAGCAGTTTTTACCTATATAAAAAATCGTGTGTACTGATACCATAGGATAAAGGGAAAGGTCATTTTTAAATAAAATGCATCTTTTTCATCCAAACTGAGTGAAAATTTGTCCATATAGGTAAAAACTGCTGAAAAATCGAATCGCGACAAAACAATTGCTGAAGTTGCAGTACGTTATTCGTGGATTCCAAGAAATGTAATTGAAATTTATCTAAAACATTATTCAGCTTGTCAGCTAAAAAAACCGAGCAAACAGCCAGTCGTTTCAAAGCCCATTATTTCGTTAGGTGTCATGACACGACTTCAAATCGATTTGATTGATATGCGAACACGTCCGGATGTTATATCAATTGATGTTTCGTATTTATGGATTTTAAACTGCATTGACCATTCTCCAAATTTTCGTGGAGTTACCCATTGCAGAGTAAATCAGCGGTTGAAGTGGCCCAAAATTAAGAGCATTATTTTTCGTTTTCGGACAGCCACGTTTATTGTATTCAGACAACGGAGCCGAGTTTATCGCTAATGTTATCGTTGAATTGAAAGCATTGTTTCCAGACATGTGTTTTGTTCGAGGTCGTCCTCGTCATCCGCAATCTCAAGGTTGTGTTGAGCGTGCAAATGGTGTTTTGACGGTTGCTTTAGGCAAATGGTTAGTAGACAACAACTCAAGTCATTGGTCAGAAGGTCTGTTACCTGCCGTTTATGGAATCAATACACGTGTGGCTGCTGCAACAAAATGTACTTTATACGAGGTTAGGTTCGGCTAGCGTCCGAGATCCAGTTCCGATTTTTGGAAGATTGTGCAAGATCAAGATATACAAGATGAAGTTCAACTACCAACACCTGTTGAAGATAATGAAGATTTACAAGATGAAGTTGATGTTACGAATCAATTAAATTCAGTTACCAGCAAAAATATTGTTGTTGTTGATCCATTATTTGATAATCCGGAAAATAGTACTATTTCAAAATCGCTTATTGATTTATCGTTATTTAAACATCGATTCATTAATTCCACCTAATTCACCGGTTGAAACTAATCCAAAAACAAGTGCTGAAATGCTCCTCGACGATCTAGTTGTTTTTAATGATCCGCTTTCTTCGGTTGTTGTCCCGCCAAATGTTATTCCTGAACTTCAATCAAAACCATCAATTCCATTTTCAGCTATCCGTAATACCAGTCAATCATTAATACCAGTTGCCGATTTATTAGCTATATTATCTACATCACCCATACCATCTACCTGCGATGTTCCATCTTCGACTAATAACGTTTTTAATATTTTCTCACCTCGACATACTCTGGTTCGTAAACAAGCTGAAGGATATTATTTGGATACAGCGAACAAGAAAAGAAAAAAGTACGACGAACATCTCAATAATTTAGCCGAACAGTTCAAATTACGTGATTGCATTGGTATTCCAATACATTCTGTTGAACCTACAAATACCGGTGCCAAATTACTTCCATGCTTGATTATTGCAAAAGAAAAAAAAGGCGACGATGTTGGATTTCGATTGGCTTGCCAGTTTGGTGAAAAACGCAATACATATGCGTGCTCTCTGCGTCACATAATGCATTAATAGGAAGAGCAAATACTTAACCGACAAACAGCGCTATTCAACAATGTTCCATTTGACAGCATCACACATTCGATCAAACCCACCCAGAAACGTGTGTATATAAAAGGCAACAGAGTATTTGCGCTTTTCGCTGAATAGGGGGATAACGACGGCATGTACGCCGTGCAGTTTCCAGATCCCAGTACCCTGAAATATCTACAAGTGCCGTCAATGCACAAATCACTTTGTCTGTAAATCATGCGTGAAAAAGGAGCACAATCAAGTGGGTACCTTTCATCACACATTGTACCAGGTAGAAATAAAACTAATCTTGCATTCTAATCAATATCAGTATGTTTTCTAAATGAATTCCTTAGCAAAACAGACATCATCGCAAATTTTGCAATTACCATCAGATGTAAAATCGAAGTCATCAGAACGGATCCGCGGGCAGAAATAAGCAGCAGCCATAGTTCTGATAGAAAGTTTTTATTTACTAAACTACGGGTGTGGGTGTATTTATATATATTCTTGATCGAAACCAAAGATATGATTAGCTACCACGACGCGTAATTGGCACATGGAACTGTATAGAATGGACCAGGCTGATGTAAATGAATTTACCTTGACATGAGAGTAGATTCGTTGGTTTTCATTGTTTTGATCTATACCAAAACATAAGAGTATGTAGAATAGTTTGAAGCACAATGTGTACATTGTCACCTGAGAGGATTATTTTTTCTATTTTTGCTTGTTCTATACATCACCAAACGCACTCTGGCTTATTTTGCATTTATGCGCCGGAGAGACCATCAGCATGTTTGTATATTTTGTTGCATTAATCTTCTTCTCATTATTTTGTACATTGATTCTTTTCATAAATGCGTCCAGTTTTAACTGTGATCCTTCTATCGCATATCCACCTTTACATCAGCCTGGTCCACCCTATACAGTTCCACGTGCCAATTTATCTGAACACTTACAATGTTATCAAGGACAAAACCATCAAAAAAGATGGATTTTATTTCTTCCAGGGTCAACAGAAGAAGTAAAAGAATTGTACAGTTGGAATTGGATGCGAATAATGGATAAAAACGGATGGTCATATTGTACATTACAATTACCAGAAAAAGGCTTAGGTGATTTACAAGTCGCTGCTGAATATATTACTTATGCGGCTAGAAAAATGTACAAAAAGGCAACGAGAGAAAAAGAAAAAGGTAAAGCTTAGTTACGCAGGTTTTCTATTGATATGAGTCATATTAACTATTTTCTTCTTTTTAAAAGGTATTCGTCGTAAAACAAGGATTAATATAATCGGTCATTCTCTTGGTGATGCTCTTCCTCGTTTTTCACTTCGTTTTTGGCCAGATATTCGATCTATGATTAATCATCTGATCGCCTTTGGACCACCAAATCATGGAACATTTATGGCTGATGTAGCTTGTAGTGTAATTCCTTGTCCTATTGCTGTTACTCAACAACGAATAAATTCTTCGTTTCTTTGTGCACTTAATTCATATCAAAAAACATTTTCTTCAATAAAATATACGAATATTCTATCAAAATTTGATGAACTTATTCGACCTATCACTAGTAGTGAAATCAATGAAAAAGGTGTAACAAATATTTATATTCAAGATTTTTGTCCACGTAGAATATTTTCTGAACATCTTGGTGCAGGAATTTTTGATTATTGCGGTTATTTTCTAACAATGAATGCATTACGTTCTCGATCATTTAAAAATCTGTCAACAGAAGAATGTTGTGCAGAAACTTTAATGCCTGGTATCAATTCATCTACAACAGAATTTATTTCCAAAGTTGCTTATTTAGCTAAAGAACATGCACGACATTTGCTCATGTATTTTGGTGAAGTCAAAGACGAACCAGAATTAAGATGTCCATTTAGAACTGATTGTATTAAAAGAAAAAGAAGAGTAAACAAAACGAAGTTACGATAATCATCGATTATGTTACATATTGTAAATTTTAATATACAAATAATAAATCAAAATCGAATTAATAAAGAAGGTGGATTCATTATATGTGCAAATGTTAAATACAAATTAAATAATAATAAGAAAGTTACTCGTTTTTAATAAAAATTAAATTTTCACTCGATAGTTAATCTTGACAAGTTTTGTAAGCTGTACATCTCATAATAATTTCGTCTGTTTGATATACGAAAATGTTGTTCTCGTTTCATTACGTAAGTGGAATACTTTAGCATAGCTTATCAAAAAATCATTTGTTATTTAATAATAAAAACTGAGCTTGATAAAGATGATTATCATTGGGTTTTTATCGTCAAAAAGTCATTATCGCTGGAAGTTAAGTAATGACTCAAAAGCGAAACTTAGTAGTTATAAACAGTAAAGAATTGAGTCGTGCTATTGTAATAATCTGTAGAAATCAGGTCTGAAATTTTATACTAATCAGGTCCGCGTCCAAAGATGTTGGACTGACGGGCTCTAACATGGCCAATCTAATGTATGTTAGTCGTCGAATACAAATAATAGAGAAACAATATCCTGCGTCTTCGGATCTACTTTAGAAATCAATTAAGAAAACTTTATTGAAGGTGTTATCAGTACGGATCTGTGTCTGAAAAATTTCTATAAATCGGATCCGGGTCTAAAAAAGTTTCAATAGATTGACTGTGGGTCCAAAACTTTTGGACTCAATGATCTCTATTTTCTTTTTCTATTTTTGAATGATTAATATAATTATTTTTATTGTTGAATCAGACAAAATAAGTGTGTTAACAATAAAATATAATTTTTATTATGTATTTTCATTTGATTTAATTCTATTCTGAATTCGTTCTGCCGTAGATAATAGTTAAAAGTTTGTAAATTAGGATGATCAGGTGCAAGAGTTTTACTGACAATATATCAACAGCTTTTTGTAAATCTCCCATTGCAACATATGCAGTTGCGATGCTATTATGAGTAATAGCAAGATCAGGGTGTTTTTTGTTGAATTTTCAACGCTTTTTCATAGTTTTCAAGTGCAGCTGAATATCTTTTTATTGATTGATATGTAGCACCAATGCTATTACAGTTAGCAGATAAATCTCGATGATCAGGAGGAAGTGTTTTTTTGTTGAATTCCAAGAGTCTTGTTATAGTACTCAAGTGCAGATGAATGTTCTTGCACAGCATGATGCATAACACCAATATTATTGTATGTAACAATAAGTGATGGATGATTTGGTGTAAGAGATTTCTTTTTAGTTTTAAGGTACTTTTTATATAAAGTAAGTGCTATTTTATGATTACCTAATTTTCTTCGTATATCACCAATGTTATTATAAGTAGCAGCTAATGATGGATGATTTGGACGAAAAGCTTTTCTTGAACTTTTGTGTTTTTTGCTAATATTCAAGTGCACCATTATAATTTCACCATTCCAATTGATTAAGATGACCAATATTATTATATGAAGTCCCAATTGATGGATAATTAGCAGGAAGTGATTTTTGTCGAATTTTAAGAGCTTTTTTGATAGAATGAAAGTGCAGCTAAATAATTTCCCGTTGATTTTTATGTAACACCGATATTAGTTAGTATAAGTAGTAGCAAGTTCTGGATGATTAATAGAAAAAGCTTTTTCTTAAATTTCAAGTGCGTTTTGATAAGATAAAAGTGCTTCAGAACATTCTCCCATTTATTGATTAATATCACCAATGTTATAAGTAACAGCTAATAACGGATGATGTGACATAAATGTTTTATATTTAACTTTTCAAGTGAGTTTTCAAAATATGAAATAGCTTGTGAATAATCTTCCATTTCACGATGAATAAGATCAATATTATTATAAGTATTAGCTAATGATGAATCATAAGGAGATAAAGTTTTTAATTGAATATTCAAACCTTTTTCAAAGTATGTTAATGCAAACGGGAAATTTTCCATTTCGTTTTGAAGTTCCCCTATATTATTATAAGTAACAGCAAGTTCACTATGCGTAGGTGGAAGAACATTTCGTTTAATTTCAAGAGCTTTATGATAAAATTCAGGTGCTGTTGAATATTCCCCAAGAGATTCATTAGCAAGACCAAAAATATATTTATAAGTTGTAGCAAATGATAAATCATTTGGAGAAAGAATTTTTTATTTAATACTTAATGTTTTTTGATATGATAAAAGTACATTAAAATATTCTCCTAACTCTCTTTGAACTTCTCCAATGTTATATATTATAAGCAATACTAAGTAAACGATGATTAGCTGGTAACATTTTTGTCGTAATTCAATTGCTTTTTGATAAAATGAAAGTACTAATGTATAATTATCCATTTCGTCACTAATAGTGAGATGTATCTGTTCACTCATATAAGTAAAAGTAATGGTATGTGGATATTTTTTCTCTCTTTCTCCCCATATGTCAAAGTCGTTTTATTTCTTCATACATCGGAGAACCCAAAGGAATTTTAATACTAGCCTTTGGCATCGGTTAGCATACAATAATCAACATGTTTATTTACCGTTAATTTTTCTCTACCCACATTTACTGAAAGTGAATATAGAAAAAGACGAAAAAGCAGAGTCTGGGATCTTCCTTGACTCTTCATTGGATTTCAGAATTGTTTTAAACAGAAATATCCATCGTAGGTCTCTCTTATGAAGTATCAACAATATATAATACATCAACAATCACACCAGAGCTCCGAATGGACTGGGCCTAAGAAAGTCGACCCATGGGTTATCAAATTTTGACACAGTCCAGTCAGTGCATAAATCAGATAGCCCATGGCAGCTATAGTTGGCCTATCTAGTTAAACATTTTCCCCAACATATACTTTGGCTTGCCATGCTGTTCAGAGTTATTTATTATCGATAACTATTCTTTTATTTTATTGTTTTTAACAACACTGTAGGTTGATGGCTGTTGTTTCAAAAGAAGTTTGACCGGTTCGGATATACATTACTTTTATACGTGATGATGAACTGACAGCAATAGTTGAAGAGCAAGTGGTAATAGAAATTGATGATTGAGTAGGATCAATAGGTATAGAATTAGAAAAGATAATTGATCGTGATGCAATTATTGATAAAAGAGGAGAACGAGGCAAGAACATTTTGTTGAATAAGAACAACGTGAATAGAGTTTTTTATATCTTTTTCTTTCTTCTGTTTTGTATACTTTCTCGCTCTTCATTGCAGAAATGTTTGAGTCAATAAAAGAGCTAAATGAAATTTTTCGCAAAGCGAAATATTACAGTGATAATACGCGACATTTCTTGAGAATTTTGTTTTTTATTCAAGTCAAGATTCCGCCCATGGCCGAGCATCAACCAGTGGGCTAAATCTCGTAGTCCATGGATGTCCATCGAAAAATCGGATCAGCTCCGCCCACTCTTTGGGTTTTCTTTTCAAAAATTTTGGTCCATGGGCTGAGCTAGGATGGGGTGGGCTTGGCCCATTCCAGTTCGAATAGCCATCTGATAAATAATTTTATATTATTTAAGATGTCGAAAATTCGCTGTGATGACGTCGCATGGGGAGGGGAGGGCTCGGATATATGACTAGTGATGACATAGGGGGAAGGGTCCAGAAATCGAGAAAAACGGACGACATAATATGTGAACAGCTCCTAAGTCCTAATCCATTGTAAATATCAGACATTTTTAGTTGATCATTTTCAGATAATAAATCGATAAGTACAAAATAAATTTATTTGGCATGATCATAATCCCGTAAAACAACCATCAGTTTAGCTAATTTATACCATCCTACTGAATTTCGAGTTTCTTCTCGAGTTAATTACTTGAGATATCTTATCTGTTTATCATTTACTTCTGTTAATATTAAATCTAGTTGCCATATTTTATCTTCAATTTGTTCTATTTCACAAATACAAAATACACTATCTTTCTCGGTTTTTTTTTCTCTTTTTTTTTCTATTAATTAAAAAAAGAAAAAGAAGAGCTAATATAATTAGTCTGCTCTCTCTGTGTATGTCCAATTTTAAACTATGCCTTGTTCTGTACATTTTTCTTCTGATGAAGAATTCTTTGAGTTCGAAACGTAAAGAATAAATTCAATTCAATTTATCAATTATTTGAAATTGTGATCAAATCGATTGAAATAATCAGGAAGAGAAACTTGTCTACTGAAAAAAAATGTCAACAGCGCTTCATTATAAGAGAACCAATCAGTAGATTTTTTTCATTTATTTATGTAGCTGTGTAAGAATGATTGTTTTTTGTAACAGCAAATAAGTAAACAGCAGGCTAACAACAAACAAGAAAAAAGTGTGACATACACATGAACATATACGAGTACAATGAAAAAGAGAAAAAATACAAATAAAGAGAGTTGCAAACTTATACAGCTTTCTTGAGATCGTTTTGGCGTACAAATAAGTTTTAAAGCCACTTGATACGTACTCGTAGACGTTGATAATTCATTCTATGATCTTTGTTAGTTAGCGAACGTTTCAAAACATTCAGATCGGCCGGTCGCTCGCTATTCCTCTATCCCTCTCTTCCACTATTGTTTCTCTATTATAGAACATATCATTATATGATAGTTTGCTATTAATATATATCGAGCTTCATTTTTTTATCTTATTGATTTCATTACTTCTTTAAAGACAATCAACCGCTATGTTTCAAAAGATTATTCTTTTATCAGTATCATGTATAAAGCAAAAAAACGAACTTTTCATTTATAGTTTATTCTACTCTGATAATATTGAAGCTTTCCTATAACAGAAGCTCTCATTTACAACGTCATCGTTTCTTCTGTTTCTCTTGACCGTATTCAGTTGCTACTTCTTCTCATTTCTTATGTTAAGAAGAAACTGGCGTCACCAGTCCTCTTGTCGACATTCGTTTGAGAGCTGGCGGCGCCAGTTTCTTCTTAACATAAGAAATGAGAAGAAGTAGCAACTGAATACGGTCAAAGAAATGGAAGGTACACGATGAACTCGTTCTTTTCCTTTTGATTTTAATCGTTGGTATTCGAAACGAGTATTGTGAGTGTTGTTATAAGGAAGCATTTTTTTCAAATTCTTGCTGTTCTCTCTGTCTTATATTAGATTATTCCTGTATTCCACTCTTACACAAGATTTCGTTTTTATAAGAATTTTTATATAGATGTATACAGGGACTTTTTCTCTTCTAATTGATTTGATTACTTCTTCAAAGACAATTAATCGCTATAGTTGCAAAGATTATTCTTTTATCAATCTATCAAAAATACATACCTTTGCGAACTAAAATTACATTAATTAGAAAGGTTCCATTCCCATTTCTTCTACTAATTTAAAGTATACGATACTGATTTATTTTTTAGAAAAGTGAGATATATGGCTGTGAATATCGCTGATTTCCAGTGACTTTCAAAATGTAATTTCCTTTCAAATTTTGAGTAAGCGACCTTGCTTTATATGTAAGTAAGAAGTTTGGGTCTTAGTGTTATACAACAGAACATCAGATATTTACACATGCGTCAACTCATTTTATTATGCTACTTTTACAAACTGCTGAACATGAATAATACCGAAGTTAAACTTTTTTTGTATGTCTAAATAGTTATTGTGTTTCTACTAAGTTATATTTCGAAATGTTACTTCTGTTTTGCGTATCATTGCAAGAACGTGCTTTTTTAAACGATAATCAGCGATATTCACAGCCATATATCTCAAAGACTAAAAGGAATCCTTTTCTAAAAAACAGATCAGTATCGTGCACTTTAAATTAGTAGAAGAAATGGGAATGGGACTTTAATGTAGTTTTAGTTCGCGAAGTTGGCACAATACGATTATAAATTTACAGTGAGCACTCTCCTTTTTGAATATATAAGGGATGAACTTTTCATTTTATGAAAATGTAAAAGCAGAGATGGGCGAGTCACCACTTTTTCGAGTATGAGTCGCATCAAAAATTGACTCGAGTCACTTCGGGTCATTTTTTAGAGAAGAACTTCCTCATGATTGACTTTTGTAAGAACAGGTCTTCAATCCTCTTATGTGATGCAGTGTTCTACTAAAAACATTCTCAAATCTCTCACTTCTGGCGTATAACAAATATGATAAACACCATCATAACAATCCCAAGTTGCGCATGACTGACTCGAAAGTGACTCGAGTCAGTTTATCAAGTTTATTGAG